CACAAGGAAACGCCGCTCTACGTCCTGTGCACGGCCGGGATGCGGCTGCTGCCCGAGCGGTGAGTCCATCCATCCACCCTCGTCGGGGAGCTGGGGACCCCCCGGGATTCCTCAGCCGCGACCAGGGCGCAGGCGGGAGCCTCCGGGGCTAGCGGGGCTGGACACGGGGCGTGTTGCAGCGGGGTTCCCTCTGGCTCTTGCACTGCTGCAGTGGAGCATCGCCGGTGAAGGTGTCTTAGCATCTGCCCCTCTCCTGCGTCCTTGCAGGCAGCAAGCTGCAATCCTGGAGGACTTGGTGAGAAACGTGCCCCTGGAGTTTGATTTCCTCTTCTCCAAATCACACGCAGAAGTGATCTCGGGGAAACAGGAAGGTAGGAACCGCCGCGGAGCGCTGCTTGCTTCCCTTTAGCACGTTGCTGTAATGTCCTTTTCTGCCTCGTGCAGGTGTCTATGCTTGGATCGGCATCAACTTTGTCCTGGGCCGGTTTGATCACGAGGACGGTGAGTCTGGCTGCTTGCAGAGTGGCTGGGAGGCACTGAGCGGAGCCCTCCCGGAACTCGCAGCAGCACTGGGGCCAAGAGCAGGCTCTGGAGCGGGCGGCGTCTTCCCCTCTGGCCAGGCAATGCCTGACTCCAGCTGTGTGTGCAAAACCCTCCCGGACCTGGGGCCCGGAGGGGCACCTGCCCCGCTCACAGGAACAAGTCCCTGTGTGAGGGGGGCACCTGCAGCATTTGGGGGAAGAACCAGGCAGAGAGGGCTTGTAGTGGTATTGCTATAGTGGCTTCAGCCACGGATACTTTGGGGGAAGGCGGGGGGGCAGCCAGCCCCCAGTGCCAGGACCCGCTGCCCCGCAAGTGATCCCCGGGGGCTGCTTGCAGGGGTGGAGGAGCCCCATGAGGCTGCCCCAGGGGGTAACGGTGGAGGGGAGGAGATGCTGCCCCGGGCCCTGCACTTGGCTGACATGCCGCCATGGGTTGCAGAGGAGGATGCGGTGGTCACTGTGGCGCTGGGGGACCAGGGAGAGTCCCTGGTTCGGAAACGAACGGTTGGGATCCTGGACATGGGCGGTGCCTCCCTGCAGATTGCCTACGAAGTGCCCGACTCGGGAGCCTTCTCCTCCCCGCAGCAGGTACGTATCTGGCCATCCGGCCCCAAGAGCAGCCCCTGCCTTCCCCGGGTCGCTGCCGATCATGGACCTCTCTGCGTCCGCAGGAGGAGGCTGCTAAGAGCCTGCTGGCAGAATTCAACCTGGGCTGCGACGTGCAGCACACTGGCCACGTGTACCGCGTCTACGTCAACACCTTCCTGGGCTTCGGAGGCAATTTTGCCCGGCAGCGCTACGAGGACCTTGTGCTGAACCAGACCTATGTGCACAACCGGTATTGCTGTGTCGCCTGTGCTGGGACGTTGCGAAATGGGGTGCAGGTTCCTTCACGCCGCCCTGTCCCCATTGGATTTGCCCCAAGAGCTGCCCGTGGCGATAACAGTTCCCACAGCCACGCTGGCAGCAGCAGATGCCCTGGCTGGCCCAGGGTGTGTGGGCCCTGCCCTTCTCCGAGCCTGGCAGGCGTTACCAGTGCCACAGCTCCCTGCCTTCCTCCTCCTCCCCTCCTGGCAGGCTGCAGGGAGGCCCCTCTGCTGGCTTTTGGCTTTTCTTGCTCTGACTTTCCCTCCTTCTCCAGCACCGATTTGCTCAGCACAACCTTCCACCGCATCCCCACCTCGAGCTCTCTGTCTCCCGTCTCTCCTTCCCTTCCCAGAGTGCTACGTGAAGCTGTCGCCAGAGCGGCTCAGTGCCCAGGTACTCCTGTGCCGGGAGCAAACCCTGCCTCTAGGTCCCGGGGGGCTGTGCAGGGGTGCGGATCCCCACAGGCTGGGTGGGGTGGGCCGTGCCTTGTTTCAGGTGCTCGGGGCACGCAGCCACAGGTCAGCGTGGCAGATCCAGCGAGTTC